ACGAATAACTATGGGATGGGGGAGAGTATTTAATAGTGAACCGTAGTTGGCTGTAGTGGTCGTAGTTGACCGGTGAGTAGGAATAGAGTAACCAAATGCGTAATACATGCCCTTAAGTCCAACTGCATAAATATGGAATTCTAATATATTTTCATGCTATTGCCAACGCAAATATTAATAGGTGTTGCACGTCACCAATCTTCCTATCTTTCCAAATCGAGCATGGAAACAATAGAGTAGCCTCATTTAATTATTAAGTTAACTATATATGTATGAATATATACACGAAAACGAGTTATACACAGCTGAACATTGCTGATCGCAATCAATCTAAAGCATAGTTAAATCGTATTCTAGAGACTTTCACCATAAGCAGAATTTAAGTGAAAATGATCGATGTGCTTCGAGGCTTTACTCTCATTACTCTACCCCTACGATGGGGACATATAAAAGAATTCTAAATCATTTTGGAATACCTAGTTTTCCAGAGAGGAAACTGTAGACATAGTCACTTAAATTCAGGCCGTGATTGGATGCCGATTGAGAAGTTGTTATAAGAGGAGCAAATATAATCCTTATACTTGGTCAATGGGATAAGATGCTTAATGTTGTATTAATTTGCATAAATAACCGATATTTTGTATCGTGTTTGGAAAGAAGGGAGGGCAGGGGGTGTTGTGCTTTTTTTATTTTTGTTTTTGCATTTTAAAACGAATGCATCGGAAACAGGTTTTAAAATTAAACATGCACATTGTAGGCACTGTTTTTACTATTGCATGTGCGCTTAGTATGAAGAGGACGATTTTCTCGAGACAAGTAGTAGCAAGTTGTCATATACCCGTATACCGCCCTTGTTACGAAATTTTTGAATTTTTATTTTTCTTTTTTTTTTTGATATTCAACTATAAAACACTTTTTTTTTCTTAAAGATACTACAGCGAGCATACATAACTCACGAGACTTACACTAAACAGATAAACAGGAAATTAATGCTGTGTGTGCGCCATAAAAATAACTATAAAAAAAAAATAAAAAAAAACCGAAAAAAAAAGAAAACAATAATCTACTGAAACTGGGGAAATGTGGCAGTGAAACAAAACACGAAAACAGAACAAGTGTTTGTGGTTCAGGCTTATCTGCATGCGAGCATAAAACTTGGTATTATATTGCTTATGTACAGTTGCTTAATATGCATATATATAAATACACATACACATACATACGCATACATATATACATATATATGTACATATAAACATACATATATATATATATATATATATATATGGATATATTTATATATATACTGATGCGTACTCCTAAATATGTTGCATATAGGGATGTACTTTTTGCAAATACATATGAAATCGTAAAAAAAAAATTCTTCGATTTTTTTTTCTTTCTTTTTAAATATTTCGAATAACTTCAAGCAATGAAAAATTTTTTATAAATATTTCTTATGTAATAATTTGTAGTTAATAGTTTTTGTTGTTGCTCTTGTTGTCTAATAGTTATAGCTTATTTTTAAATTTAATCTGAAATCAACTCAGATTTTATAATAATTATCATTGCTATCGGAAACTTATCAAGCAAATGATTTCATTTAAATTCAAACAAGTTTTCATTACTAATAAGATAAATTGCCTATCTACACGTATGTCTCTGTGTTTACATATATTGCCGATATCCCAATAAAGCGATATTACATACAAACATACTAACCTGAATGTTTGGCAATTGTCGCCTAAAATAGCCATTGATGCATTGATCTTTGGGCACGCATTGTTGCGGCCTTTTGCATTCCAGTAATGTAGGTAAATACATTTGACCTACAAACGGTGTGGCACGCTTACTAAGCAAAGAAGCCAAGGCTGCAGCTTGTCCAGGTCTATAATCGTTCACAGCCTTATTATTGCTATCTTGGCGCTTGGCAAGTCCGTTTTCATAATCACCATTTAAAAACATATTAGACGTGTATTGTAAAGCATTGGCTGCCGTTAATAGGAAAAACGTTGCAGCAATTCTTATGAGATGAGTACGATACTTATGTGACATTATTTCAAATATTTATGATGCTGTACAATAAAATGTATTGATCGATTTATTTCTGTATTTTGAATGAAATTCAACAAAAAAAACAAGCATAAGCTCCGTCTCTTTTATAAAAACAGTTTTATTGATCGAGTATACCGTTATATTTTCTTATCAAAATTTTCAATATTTATAATAAATCCTCGGATCTCATATGCAAAATGAAGATTAATCCAAAATTTAGCCTAAATATCACAAGCATAGGTATCATCACATAGGGACGATTTTTTAGTCAAAAAACATAGCGAAGAATTTTGCAATTCCCGCCCTACTGGATAACGGCATGCCCTACTGGTATTCATATATCGACTTTTCAAAATAAAGCACTCTATAAGAAGTGAGCGAAGAAGTGATCCGATCTGAACCATTTTGTATACGGTCCCTTTTTCGACCCAAACACGCCAAGGTACCAAATTTGATCAAAAAATATGTCAGGCGGGTCACAAGTATACAAAACAGACATATAGGTGTATGGACAGACGGATAGACAAGCTTAGATCGGTGCAAAAAATGATTCTGAATTGATCGGTATAATGCAAAGTGGGTCTATCTCAATTTTTTTTGGACATCCGCAGGAACTTAATAATGTATTGGATCACAAGCGGTGTGGTGCGTAGTGATCAAATTATGCGGATCACTTTTGTTTAGGACATTTTTTTCATTTTCTCTCTTTTGCTTCTTCTTCGTCTTTTGTTGTACTTGAAAAAGAGAAAAGTTAATTCTGAAAGCATTAGGTAAAAAGCTAAGAAAAATACTATCATAGTGTGCTCAACATGTGTCGAGACCTAGAAGCTCCGCTGTACTCGTCCATTCCTCTAGCTTCCAGTTGTACGGATTTTAGGAATCCCATTACCTCTGTGGTTCCAAGCTCTATCAGTAAAATCTTTAAAAAATATGCAAAGTAATTTAAACTCTTGAGAACTTGAACAATTTTCAAATAAATTCTCTCATCGAAACATGAAATCTGGAAGTTTTCAAATATGCAAAGATTCAAAAGAAAGACGTGGAATTTGGAAACATTACGAGACGAGAAATTTGATGACAAATAATAATCGCTCTTTGACACCCTATAAATGTTTTGAACGCCAAATTGTGCCTAGGATTAATCAACAATTATTCATCTGCGTGGCAGTCCTTAAAATGCTCCTAATCGCATCGACACGGAGAGACCTCATAGTCGACTTATAAAATCTTAATTCGCAATCTTCACGTACAATAGATATCAATCCAAAAGAAAGCATGGTAAGCGTTTCCTATGGTTATCTAAAGAACAAATCGAAACACCACAACACTGGCATTCTCGCAACTAGTTTAAGGAAATCAACATAAAGGCTGAATGACTAAACATTTGCGCATGGAACGGATAGTTGTATTTATTTAACATTGTGTTATACATAACCATTGGGGAACTCGAACTGGTACTGCTAACGCCGTTGCATAGGCGCTCGCCGTTCAATCTATACCTGAAATAGTTTTTTCTTAAGACAAATGGTTGTGCGTTGTTCCTTTACCGACTGAGCACTCGCAATTAAGACTTGACCTCGCGTGTACTGACTTTGTGAAAGCGATTGAGACCTATTCAGCTACCCATAAGCATATTTAGCAGCAGATCTACGGCACCCGTCAAAACTGCGTAAGGAAGTAAATATATTCAGATATTATCTATTTGTTCTTAACTGTTTAATGCCGCAAATATATATCTAATCTTTTTTCTAGGACACGCCCAACTTGCTAACTCATCAATTTGACGGTTTGCTTTTTTGAATCTTCACAGTCACAAAGACAAAAATGGAAAGCTGAAAATTAGCACAAATTGATCCTTGATCGATTAGGAAAATGTGCTTAAGAAATAGTCGGGCCGTCGATATGTACGTCCTCAATGCAGGAAAAACTGACACAACCTCGAAAAACACTGATAATTTTTTCAAATTTTCGTCTATAACTTTCGATCACTCAAACACGATTGTAAAAGTTTAGCACTCAAACGCTCCAGCCAAAAATGATCTTAATAGGTTTATTAATATGTTCATAGACAGCGATGAAATTATCCAATTTATTTCCCTTTCACTTTACCCCATACTAGACTGCATTTTATTGTCAATGACGACTGAGTTTTTTGTGAAGCTGAACCTAGTGAACTTCTGAACCTCAATCCCTTTGAAAGTATCTTCATGGGGTGAAAAGTTGTAGACGAGTGGGGAAAATGCTAACTATCTTGCATTCGAATAAACGCGAAAGGAATTTGAAACAAGTTGGAATAGAAATTTAATCGTTAATAAGTGTGAACGCAAACCAAAGTAAACCGATGCAGACCAATTTTGCACGGAATCAAAAGTTATAGATAAAAATTTGAAAAAATTGTCGTTGTTTTTGGAGATTGTTTCAGTTTTTGCTGCATTGTGGGCGAGTCGATGAACAAATGTTTACTTTTTACCAATTTTTTAAGCAGATCGATCGGCGAATGTTTATGACGAATGTCAGCTTTCGATCTTTATTTTCACGATTGTGATCATTCACCAAACTTACTCGTCAAATTGATGAGTTTTAACAAAAGTTAAGATATATGCAAAATATCCATAGCGCTAATGTTAAGTATTTAAATAAATATTCCTCTTTTGTTATTTCGAATCAAGAGATGTACTTAAGAAAAATGAATTTTTAATTCAAATAAATTTTTTTGAAGCGAATTACAAATGTCGAGATTTTTTCTGCGCAATCATTTCAAAAATCACATCAAAAATGTTATTCTCTACTACCTATCGACCGGCCGACTTAATATCTACATACACACATACATACATACATGCACATAAAATATAACAATGAGTTGAATATATTTTTGCAGAGTAAGAATGCTTGAATATATTACATACAGATTCAAGCATTCAAGTATTATTATATAAATTACTTAATCCCTCTTATGTACAAGAAAAAAAAAAAAAAAAAAAATTACGCCTTCTGTCTGTAATCTTTAGAAATTCACTTCCTTATAAATTTAAAGATAATCACTTAGTGACGCAGATAACTGTGTGTATTTAACTACTCTTAACATGCACAGCTATGAATTCCAATAATTGCAAAAATATTTTTGGAAAATTATTTGAAGTTTCTTGTACACGCATACTTGTATTGTATACATATTGCAGTGACTATAAAAGTCAATAAAGTTGCTTAACAATTTGTCAGAGTATTCTAACATCAATAAATTACACAAAAAATAAAAAAGAAAAAAAAAGAAAAAATGAAACTCTCGACGGCATCAGACACTTTGACGTTTTGAAAGACCTACGAAGACAGCTGCTGCTGTTGCTGCTGTTGGTGTTGCTGTTGTTTTACCCGATACTTGTTAACTGTTGGTACTGCTGTCATCAAGCAAACAAGTAGACAAGCAAAAATCTCACTTCTAAGGTAATTGAAGTCATTATTAATGTTACAAAAGCTATCGTTTACTAATAAACATCAATTCGTGCCATTGTATATACATAAACGTAACAAGTAAGAACGCAATATTCGCCTCATACCGAATCTTGGATACTTAGCAAAAATATTTTCCTTTTTTTCGTATGATCGCAAGCCGTTTTCACTCATGTTTTTAATGCAAACTCGAATCGAATCTTGGGTCTACGTTCTCCTGCAGAGTTCATTGATTATTTATAAAAATATATATTATCCTTAAATGCATATTGTTGCCAATTGTCTACATTCCGGTTCCACTTGTTATTAATTTTAAAACTTTAAAATTTACTATTAATAATTAATTTTAAAATTAAATGGAATTGGAACGTAGACAATTGGCAACAATATGCATTTAAGGATAATATGTATTTTTATAAATAATCAATGAACTCTGAGGTAATTAAAATATGTCCGAAAGAGAATACTTTGCAAGCGGACGTAAACAATCAACAAGAGTGCGAAAGAACGAATGCAGGCGACGAGCGAACGATCAGCCACAACAAGCAGCAAATGAAGGAACGTCCTCTAATAATTTGTTAAATAAACTTCGGCATACGTTATTTGTAAAAAAATGTATTTTTGTTTATTACACATTAGAGAGCTATTAAAGCAGTGGTGTCGTTGACTGAAGTTATGTTCATTGGTCGATCAAGTTCCTATCTGTCATTAACAAAGTAAAAATGAAGTATATAGGCTATTGGATGCGTAACGCTTACAACGAAAATAATTTGAACTAAGCGAGCAAAATACTTTATAGATTTTGATCTCCTTGACTACGATGCCAAGAATCTGCTAACTGTCAATGAGACCTACTATTGACGGGGCGAGAGAAGTTCACAGTTGGAATTGGTGCATGGTGTATGCTGGATTGATATCTGCTTCTTGTAGGTTAGAAACCCAAGGGCCTCTTAGCTGGGTAACGTTCAGAAAGTATGGACATTCCATAGGTAAGAACATATCAGTAACTATGACACGCATAATGCCCATAATCCTAATGCATTACGGAGTTAAACTATGGACTCCGCAATAGTCAGGTGGCCCACTTTTAGGTAGCGTATAACTAAGCGGGAGATACTTCGGCGGAGACAACGTGTGAGGCCTGATTGTTGGCAGCGTTCCTTCGTGGAGAACTCGTGATAGCTGTGGTTAGCACGGCATTAAATAATTAAACTTCCAGTTAGACTTCGCCTTGTCCGGAGGGAAGGGTTTGGACCATACCAACAGTTGCATATCGGATATCCCAGCCTTGGAAGAGGCCCTCTCACTTGTAGAAATATCTTGCAAGGCGGAGAGCACAAGAAATCAATCGCAGATTACCCAACACACCTGCCGCCTTCTTCTGATTAAGCTGTCAAGGTAGAAGCAGATGTTAAAATGTAAAGACTCTCTGCCGACGAGTCTTAGATTCACTACAAACCGCTAAAAGCCGCAAAACTGGGCTTTCTGCTCAGCGTTAAAAGTTTCGTGCCAAGATGACATTCAAAAAGATTAAGGTCGCTTCGCTCTCGATTAGAAGTGGGATTGTGCATACTTGCAATGTCAAATCGAGTGAATCTACTA